CACACACACACACACACACACACACACACACACACACACACACACACACACACACACAGTGTGAAGTTTCACCAACTGAAAGATAAAACAGGCACACTACAGATGAATGCATGTATGCACAATGACCCACAAGAGCAGAATACAACAACACTCAACAACAAAACCAGCGACTGAGATGAATGTGGAGCAGGTGAAAGAGATAACACGGGTGGCAGTTATCACGCTCGCCTGTGCTGTGGCGGCCCCAGCCGAGCGGATGCACTCAGTTCCTGTTTGAACGGCGCTGGAAGCCTCTTCGTTCTCCTGCTGCAGGAAAGGTGCTCGCCACTGGTTGAAAGGAAACTTCATGCATACGAGAAGTTTTGGATGTATCACTGCAGGGGTGCAATGAATCAAAAGGCAGAAATCCATGTGTGGGAGATTAAAGTCCCAAACAGAAACACGAATATGGAAAATAGTCAAACTTCAAGCAGAGGTGGGAGGATTTGAGAGAAACGGAATCAAGATTTGGGCAGAAAAAGAGAGCCGTAAGAAAAAAGAAAACAAAAAAAACAGACGCTATCGTGAGGTCTGAAAGATTACATCGCATCGATTTAATCTTTTCTTTTTTGAACATCTAAAACTGAAAAGTGATCTCAAGCCAGGGTAAAAATATTTAAGACTGCGTCTGTTTTAGTCTCTGCAAGTGGTAAAAGATGGACTTTCACTATAAAGCCAGGAACAATGACATTCATACGCACACCTATGTAATCCATTTAGCCTGTAATGGAAACGTCCTGGAGTCATTCAGATCCTGACACAATCTCCTTTTATGTCCCTTTTATGTTCATTTTCACCAGCTTTACCTTCTTACCCTCCTCTCAGGGCTTCCTGTGTCAGGGTCTCATTGTCTCATCCTGCTGTGTTTTAAGTATAACCAGTCATATGTATCCATTCTCACTTTTGTAATGATTAACTCCCTTTTTCCCTCCACCCTCCCTGCCTGTCATACATTAAGCTATTTCCAAAGGAGCATGACAGAAGAGGTAAAATGAATAAAGAAGAATTATTAACAGCTAACTGCGGCTCCACCAGATCACTGAGTCACACTGAAAGCAAACAGAGTAGAAGGAGGTGTTGCTTGAATTTCAGCTTTAGATTCCTGTTTGTATTTGAATTACATTTACATTATATCACATTTAAAGTTCAACAAACTCCCCGGTGCAAACACTTTTCTGAAGTTCAATACATGCATGATGCTTGGTAGGTTAATTATTGTAGAAAAAAATGGTACATTTCAACAAAAGTCTGCAAAAATACAAACAATCTGCGTGTGGAAACATAAATTCATCTAAACGAATAAATGATTGTTTCCCAGACTGCCGTGAGACTCTGCTGGGAAAAGCACAGGACAGTTATTAGATGGTGTTTTCTTTCCTGTAGTAACCTTGCAGTTTCAATACAATATGTGTAAAATCTGACAAGTGCCTGATATGCTGTAAGTAAACAGAAGTGAGAGTGGCAGCTGGATGAGAAGCTGCAGGGAGGTGGCAGCAGTGGTCAGGGTCCTCAGACTTGTTTGCAAGTTCTCTGACGCGTTATGTTTGGCAGTCAGAGCAGCGATGAGAGAGACTGCTAATCAAAGAGAATAGTTTACAACACATTTGTTTGCAGTGTGACAGCTGAAAGATTTCAGTCCTGACAGGTAAAACAAGTAGCTGAGCGAGGGCTTGCACTCCTTCGGGAAACTGTCATAAATACTGCAGCTTCAGCTCCTCATCGGCCAGCACGCCAGAGCTCTGACGCTAAGATAACACATCGTAGTTGTGAATTAACGGTGTTCGATGGTGTTAGTGACGGAGCAGCGATCGAAGTCCTGCACATCGCCACATGCTCGGCCACATTTCACATGACAAACAATCATTTGAAAGGAACATGACAGTTGTGATGAAAGCTGTCTCTGCAAATGTCTCTTTGTGTTTGCTTGGCCTTACATCATAATGTGCTGCATGTATCGACTCAGCGACTTATTGGACTATTTGTCAAAATGTGCAACGCCCGCTGATTGTTACGCTGCAGAAAGCAGAATCTACATCTATAAATACCAAGCACGCCCCTACGAACGTTGTCGTGTGTGGATTGTGTCACAAAGAGGCGACATTTTCTGTGGTTGTTGCCTTTGAATTTTATAATTGAGTTGAATGTTCGGGAAAATGAAGCGTGACTGGCAGGTGGAAAAATTCAACATATAATTAATGCTACAGCTTTGATTACATTTTGCCAGCTTGAAAAATGACATTTGCAATTACACAGTTCTGTGAGCTACGCTGCCGTCTGCTGCTGGTCCTATTGTGTTTGAATAGTTCAGCGGTGGCTTCAGAACAGGACGTTCTGCTTCCCGACTCAGGTGGGAACCATCGGCATGGAGATCTGGGTAAAAGCTGATCTCTTTAGAGAACAATAACACCAGACGGCACTAAAACGCCAGCTTCTCATATAAATGAGTATTTATCATTTTTATGCTGTAAATGCATAGTTGAGCAAAAAACACAGTCTTAATGTTTTAAATCACAGAAACACAACGAATAAATCGCGCATGTGAAGCAAAGTTAAGCGCCAACATTTTACATGCTGTGGGAATAAAAAGCAACTTTTCAATCTTTCTTTCTAAAAACAGTAAGTGTGACAGAGACGGTTTCCTGCTGACAGAGGCCTGAATGAAACACACCGTGGGAGGAGGATTGCTCTAAACTGACACACGGTTATTCATTGTTTATGCAGTCGGTTTAGCTCAGGTATATTACAGGTGTTCCAATCAGACACAGACACACTCAGTAAACAGAATAAGAGAAAGGAGAAAGCCGACCGGGCTCCCAGGGAGCTGGCTCTCTTAGTTGGACTGCACTGAATTAAGCTCCACTTACCTCCACATGTTTTTGGTGTATTTAGTCAGTTTTAAGTCACAGATGACTCATTTAGTCATTCTCACCTGGACTACATAACTGGAGCCACGCCTGTGAACGTGACTGAGTGCTGTTATACTTACTGGACTGAGCTGTCCTGCATTCAATAGGCTGAGTGAAGACGCCTAAGCCCATCTCAGATCGGGCTGCCAGGGAGAAGACGTACAGCGTGTCTGGCTTCAGACCATCGACTGCATAGGAGCCTGCTGCATCGAAAGTGACGCGGTGCTGTGAAGAGACGAAAGAGCACCAGGTCACGAGGGCAAAAATGAAGCCAGGGCCTGATTGGTCTCAACATAATGGAGTCAGCAGACAAAGCCTGGAGCTTCTCGAGGAGGCCGAGCAGCCTACCTGCCAAGCTCCTTGTAACATTGACGAGCCGGTGCAGTAAAGAGAAGAGGAGCTCTTTTCAGCATGCTTGCCTTGTACAGTGGCCAAGCAAAGCTGTCACCTCTCCACCCACAGCTCTGCTCTCACTGTTTCAGCCCTGAATACGCTGCAGTTTGTCGCAGCTTCTCTCTCTTCACACGTACACTTTAGAAAAACAGTATTGCACGAACAATAAGGTTTATGATTCGATGCAATATGTGACCAAATGATTGTAACTTTTCGTTACTGCCATGACTGTTTCTCGTGTGCCTTAAATCTTTCTCAGTTACTTAATGCAGAGATTTTGGGCAACAGGCAGCTGTTCGTGGAGTTGGTGGTTGGCATATTTTTCTTCCTGAGATAAACGCTGGTGTTGTTTAGGGCTCGTAATATGAACCTGTGTGTTTTAAGCCTGTGTCTGTGGGAAACACCCACAACTACTGAAAAACCTGTCAATGACATCATATTAGGGGAATCATAGGAGGGACTTTTTTCTTGTTTTTGTAGTGAAGGAGGTGCATCACACCACAGACAGTGTAGTTCTTGATGCACAGCAGCCATCAGCTCATCCAAGCTCTGTTTTTGTAATACATCCAAATTACAGCAAAACCCCTCCAACTCCAGTAGCTTCAAAAATATGGAGACTGGGTTTTGATTATCGATTTATCGATTAAAATCGATTTTGGCTTGGATAACGTGATATCGATTCATTGAAATCCTGAATCGATTTTTTTATATAAATTTATTTTGGCCTAAACGCCAGAATCTCAGGTTAAAGCTCACAAAATTTCAACAACCACCAAACAGCTAAAAAAGAGCAGGAACACAGATTCTGCACAGAGACGTAAACACAAAGCTCGGACCCGCCGACGCATCAGGATCAGTGAGATGTGACTTTCTCACCGACGGCACGGACACGGTCGGGGCTGACGGCTCGCTGATTCTGATGTTTCGGCGGCGCTTTGTGTTCACGCCCTTTTTGCGCTGATTCTGAAGCTGTTAGTTTGATCTCTCTCCAAACAACATTGACTGAACCAGCAGCAAAAGAAGAGCCAAACTGTGCTTCACATAAACATCGTCATGGATTCACTCTTTGCTGTTTTGCTTCCACCAGGATAAAATCACACTTCATGCACAGCTCTCTCTCTCTCTCTCTCTCTGTACTGAACAGTTTCTTAAAAGTTTGTTTTCTTCATTATTCGCTTGCTTGTTAAGCACAAGTCTACCGTTCTTACAGCCTGTCGGCCGCTGTTTTTTCCTTTTACTTTCTTCTGAAAACAAAGCCTCATTTCTGCCGTTCAACACTGAACAAATTTAAACTTTTTAAAATTATGCAAAATTGCAAAACGCTGTGTCTGTAATCAAACCTCTGTAACTTTGCTCTGCTTCACTTCAGCAGCATCAGGTAATGTTCATGTGTTGATGGTTTTTTTCTGTTTTTGATCTGCTGCAGAATATTTTTATAAATCCCAGACCAGGAAAATCACCTTCATGTTTTATCCTCAGTTACTTTGACACAGAGGCATCTGCTGTGACGCTCACAGCTTTGATAAAGTCTCGCAAGTGTCAGATTTCCTTTTATAGATATAAAAATATGGAAATGTACTGATGCATGATCTGAATTATAATAATTCTGACTGTCTGATGCAAAATTTCCCAGATTCAAATCGAATCGAATCGAATTGGGGATCAAATCGATTCGGGACCTTGTGAATCACGCAGCTCTAATGGAGACTGTGGCATAAAATCACCCAGATCTCCTCGTGGATAAATCACAGCAAGAAGTGTTCGTGATGTGATGACATTTATCAAACCTGAATAAAGTGCAGACACTTTGAACTTACTAAAAAGACATTAATGCAAATACACAGCCTGAAGCACAGCATAGCTCCTAGCCAATAAAGATTTTACAAGCAACATCTCAGTGGAAAGAAAAGATTTCTAAGGTGGTATTTACCTTGTCTGTGGGATTGTTGGCTTCCCAGTACACCAGTTCAAAGCTAATGATGGGTTCCTGGACAGGCCAAAGCCATGACAGCATGATGCGTGAGTCTAGCTCAGCCTCACCGTCAAAGTCAGACGGCTGAGCTGGAACTGCAGGAGGAAACAAAGAGATGTGTTAAGATGGAAACACAAAGTGTAAGAAAGTAGAGGAGTAAAGCAAAGCTGGGCGAGGACCTGCCCCTGCCAGGAAAATCCACATTTGTTGTTTCGAACAGGCAGGTAGGTAAAATCCTGTTGGCACATCTATTCACATCATGAATAGATGTGCCAACAACTCAGGCTCTTCCTGCACTGCTTTCATACATGTACAAAGAGTCATCGCTACAGTGAAATTATGCCAACAAAGTATAGAAAACCAACACCTGCCACGAACCAGTAAATTCTTGGAAGCAAGAGCTATATGTATGCAAAGAGGTTTAATATGTTCCAAGCCCTGTAACAGTAGAGTTAAACTCAAAGAAGTTCAAATTCTAGACAATGAAAAAAGTATTTAAGTTGAAATATCTTGTGTCAGCCTGTGAGAGTCCTGAACTCATTTCATTTGCAGCCCGGGTATGGCGCCATGTTTCGTCCTGTCAGGCGTAGCTCACTGTAAAAGATGCTGTCTGTGACTAAAGCACCAGCCTGTCCTTGAACATAAGGCAGGTGTAGCCTTAGCAAAGAAAATGATGCGAGCCAGAAATGAATTCTGCGCAGTTGTGCTGGTAACAGTGAGGTTTATGCCCACATTTACCACAAGCTCAGGGCTGGGCTGGCTTTACCCTGCTCTTAGTGCGGGCTTGTACAAACGTCTGGGCTGCCTGACAGCAACCTGACGCTGACATCGCTTCTTATAAAAATAAATAGAATGCAAATGTGATTTCGTTATTTTTTAATCCTAAAAATCACAAGAGATTTTTCAATAGAACCAAGATGACCTCAAAGCCAGACTTTCTCTATTACTAGTTATAACAAAAAGAGTGCACTACTGTATCTTTCATTCATTCATAACTAGTATCACCCTGTGATGCTGGAGTCCAAAGTGACAGCAACTGTTTTCAGAACAAAACTTTGCCTCACACCAAACATTGAAAACTGACAGTTAGCAATATAAAGCACGAGTCTCTGCACAGACACGTGCAGCCTAACTCAGCTGGTCTTTAATCTTCTAGCTCTCTACTACAACGTCACTGTGATGCCGGACTGTGCCGACGTGGGAGCGGCGCAGCTAATACGGTAGCTCAGTCCATTCACTGCTAATGAGCGAGTGGGTGGCGAGTGCACTGCCTCTGGCTCCCTCTGTCCAGGGTGAAATATTCCAAGCACCACCAATGGAGCTGAAGCGGAGCATTTCCTGCTGTGTGCTACATGTGAGGAAGGAGAACTTTGGAGAATATCCCAACCTGATTTTCAAAAAAAAAGCCTGATGAGTGAAAATGGGTGTGATTCTTTTTTCTATATGCATCTCAATCACGAGATGCTTCATGAACTGGCACGGCCATCAAAACTGTAACGAGACCTGAAATATAATTTTACCAAACAGCACATTATGGAACACAAATGTTGTTTAAGACAAGAGCTGAATATTAATGTGAAGAAGTGTTTAAGAGGACGTAAATGCTCGAGTTGTAACTTGCTTATGCAACAGCAGGCAGCGTTTGCTAACACGTGCACACAGTAAATGATCTGAATAACTCTTCACCTCACCAATAATCGGAGCCAGGCGCACGCTGCTTATGATACATTGCTCTGCAGTGATGTAGTGAGCATGTTCTCACCTCCCTGCCTGGTTTTGATCTGTAGAGTGTCAGACGGAGGCCCATCTCCCACTGAGGTGAAGCCCAGCACCCTCAGGCTGTAGGTGATATCTGTTGCCAGGCCTGAGATGGTGGTGAAATGGCTGTCATCTGTGTTGTGCTTCTGCCAGGCGCTGAGCGGGGCATCGTGATCTGAGCTGTAGTAGACCCGATAGCCCCGGATTTGGCCATTGGGCTCTTCGGGAGGCTCCCACTGGACCAGCATGGTGCTGGAGCTCAGCATGCGTGCCTGGACATGAAGAGGTGGTGATGAGGGTGCTTGCTCACTTGTACGGGTGTCCACGATGCTGCTGGGAGGACCCCGGCCAACGTTGTTCACAGCCATGACACGAAACTCGTATTCAGAGAAGGGGCTGAGGCCACCAATGCTGTAGCGGGTTGTGGCGACACCATCTACTTCCTGGAAACCGTTCTCCGACAATTTGGCACGATACTGAATAACATAGTAGGACACAGGTTCTGGGTTGCCGGAGTCCCAAGTCAGGGTGACGCTGGTAGCTGTGGTTTCTGTCACAGTGAGGGAAGTGGGCATCTTGGGAAGAGCTGTCAGAAAGCAGAGACAGACCGAGTCAGAAAAACACGTTTCTCTACTTTCTCCATCTACATTATTCTTCCTCTCCGTCAGGAAAGTCACCCGCTGATGCCGGGTACACAGAGCTGTTCAACATTGCCAATCTAACACTTCATTATTATTCAGCTTGCTTCTGTCCTTTCCTGATCTGCACCGGGCCAGTATTATGTTGCCAAGCAGATGGGTGCATGTCCTCCTATGTAAATCCATCTATAGTCATCCAGACCTGAGCTGCAGATCATCAGAAGTGCATCTACTTAATGCAGCCACACAGCAGAGCCTGGATTTTTACAGGATATAAGATAAGTTGCATTTTCTCATAGAAGGGAGGAAAGAAATCCCATCACTGCTTTGTAGATTAAACTTATATGTGTGTAAAACCATAATGACTGTTACAACATGTGGACGGGCATGTTTATTAGCTGCATTCATACATAGCGCTTGTGTCAGGTGAGATGTGCCGACTGCAGTGGGTCTGCTGGTTGCAGAGTTCAGCTGTCTGTGGAGATCGTAACAGCAAAATGCAGGCAGGCGGTTCATCCACAGACACAGTAAATGGTATTTGTCCTGAAACTTTAGCTGCTCCTCAGTTCTGCTTCTTCTCCTGCGGCTTTTTTTGTTTTAATCACCTCCCTGCAGAGGAGTCAATGCTAAAGTGTGGCTTCACTCAGGATTTGAACCTTGTGGTAATCTTGCTCTTTTCCTAAAACATTGTACTTTCCACACTTTATAAAATATACTATATGACTGACATGACCTGCAGACACAGGCCAGAGTTTGTGCTTCTAAGACCACTTGAATTACAATATTTTCTAGTCCTAAAATACTTCTTAAGTTATTATCTTCATTTTGTTACAGATTTGCACGAAGCAAAGCATCTTCCAAAGTAGTGACGGCCAACTCAATTCAATAAATCTACTCAACCATCTAACAAATAGAAAATGGTAAAAGATCAGAGGCAAGAAATAATGAAGCTATCGTATCAAAGACTTTATTAATTATAATTATTCTCTTGCTTTGTTGTTGTCCCTCAGTCAGCTCATTCTGTATCAAATGAAGTCTTATACTGAATATGAAGTTTGACAAAGAGAAATAAAAACAGCCTGGATTAGAAACACATGGTGGCAGTTGGGACTTTGAGCTCAACCCTGTGAATCTGTGAGCTGGTCCAAAGCAGAGCAGCGGGGTGCAGAAAAGCTCACGGGTTGCCTTTTGGGATGAAACCAGTGCAACCACAGGCTTTTAGCTCTGCTGCTCCAGTCCTGACATCTGCCTCATTTTCATGCAATGCAGCCAAGCTCTTCTTCTTCTTTACAAGCGCGTGAACCCCAGCAGGCTGGGACAGGATGAAGCCGTTGCTCCTCATGCAGTTCCCATCATCTGTTGCCACAATATCTGATACAGTTTCCTCTGAAAAACAAGCTCTAAGAGCTTCAGTTTATGAAAAGCAAATAAAAGTAAAAGCACAGCTTTTTAAAAATGAGATCTGCTGATGAGATCTGTCTGTCACCTCGAGTGCTTGAAAATGATTTCTGACTGCTATCTGGAGACATTTTCCTAACGTCTGTTTCTACTGTATGGCTTCAGTGTGTCATGTGGGGCTGCTGCTCTCCTTTTTTCTTTTTAAAACAAATATTGTTTTAATGCAGAAAGTAGTTTCTACTGTGAGATGTACAACAATCCCTCCTGTGCACTTTTCTCATGCTACTGTTTGTATATTTTCACCAACACTGCAAATTCACAGCTTTCACCTGGTTTCAACAGGAAAACCAGACTAGGAGAGCCTTGAGGCCCCTGGAGCCACTGTTACAGGAACACAGCTACGGAGGAAGTGGCAAATTTTACTGACACAAGTGATCCAAACAAAAGCCAATTTATTATTTTTAAAGAAAAGTCCTATCAGAGCAGCAGAGGTACGAGTGTGACCATTTATGTAAAGACAGATTCACGGCACAGTACCTACACTGGACTTTCAGCCAGGGCACTGGGGTTTATATAAGATGTGGAAACATTGGCTTTATTTTTTTTTATGTTTATTAGTTTCTATTTGGCTAGAAGTGGAAAGAAAACCCATTTTTAAAAAGGCAGGATTAGGAAAGAATAATGATTTAGTTTAAATGCTAAAATCATTATTATCTAACTGTTGCGCATATTAAAGAGCTCTTTGGCACATAGCCTGAAATCAAACTTCTCCCACACACAACCAGCTGCTGCTTCATATTTTTGTTCATCAAACTGTATATAAAATAGGACCGGGATCTGAAAAGTGCAGCTAATGCAGCAGGGACTGAAACCTGTTTGATCTTATTAGCAGGGTGCATCTCCTCTGCCAAACAAGCCAAACTGTACGTGTCTATCAGAAAATGATCCCATTGTTCACCTCATTTATAATCTCAGCAAACACTGCAGATGAGTTTATGTCCCAGCTGTTAGTCCAGACCTTCCCAAAGTGTGGGGCCCCATTGCAGGGGGGGGGTTATGAAAAGGGGGGGAAAAAAACAAACAAAACGCTTGGACACTGCTAGCACGGGGCGCCCACACAAACGCAGAGCAGGAGATGAAGCTGAATATGTTTCCAAACCAACTGCATTCTGAGCCAAAGACTAGAAAATATCGTGAAGCAACTCTTCCCTTTGGCTTCACCTGCACAGGTGCTGAGGTAGGTCTCCCTGCAGGATTGGTTTCCCCTGCGTCGGGAGCAGCGCTGGGCTGTTTAGATCACGGACAAACAGGATCCCACATTCGTGATTTTTAGCGAACATCTTTCTTGTAAAACGAAGGGGGGCCCAGCAAAAAAAGTTTGGGAACCACTGTGTTAGTCTAAGATATCACTGAATACTTTTATAGAAAAAGTGTGTGTGTGTGTGTGTGTGTGTGTGTGTGTGTGTGTGTGTGTGTGTGTGTGTGTGTGTGTGTGTGTGTGTGTGTTTACCAGTTATATCTGAAATGGCCAAAATGCTCAACCAGAAGCTTCCAAATACATTTAGAGCTGATTCAGGCGTGTACACGTGGTAAAGCTGACTGACTAAAGTTCAAACAGAGCATCAGGAAGGGGGAGAAAAGTGATTTAAATGACTTTGAACGTTGCTTGTGTCAGATGGGCTGGTTTGCATTTTTCAGAAATTGCTGCTCTTCAAGGATTTTCCACAAACACCTCGAGACCAAGAGGTGGTGGAAGGTATCCAGTGAGCAGCAGTCCTCTGGGCAAGAATGCTGTGCTGATGCCAGAGATCAGAGGAGAGTGGACAGACTGCTTCAAGCTGACAGAAGGACAACAGCAACTCAAATAACCACTTGTATGCAAAACACAGACCTTGAATCAGATACAGCAGCAGAGAACTGCACTGCGTGCCCAACACAGTACTTTCATTTAGCCTAAAAGTAGCCAAATGAAAGTAAAGAAATACTGATGGACACAAACCCCTCAGCCTCCTCGTAGATACACCTCCCCTCAGCCTCCTCTGGTATTACTGCATTATTGCTGCGTCGTTCTTGAGTTATCGCATTCAGATGATTTTTAGAAAAGCTGAGTTCTGACCTTGAGGTTGAAGTCACCAAGATTCAAAGATTCATCAGAGATTTTAGTTCTTGCATTAACTAGATTTTCAGAAAAGTTGACCTCCGACTTCTGACCTTGAGATCAAGGTTACAGGAATTTGAACTCACCTGAGATTTTTAGTAGATGCACCTATCATATCAGTTTCACCCAGGTGACTTCACAAGATTTTCATAAAACTTGAAGTCAACATCAAGGTCACAGATTCAAACTCGTCCAATATTTCACACCTATAGTATCAAGTTGAAAGTTCACACACTTGGGTGTCCACACTGCCTGCTCCCAGCTGCCCACCCGGGTGGTGCCGATAAAAACAGTGTTTTACTGCTGAGGGATAAAGACCCACAATGAATCAGTTAGTGGAAGAAAAGGAAAAGCAAATACAAAACACAAAGGTCCAAAAGCAAACCACATGATAAAGCAGTGACTTTCATACTAACATAGACTTTCTACATATCTAAGTGTCCCTTCTGATTGGATTACAAGATTTGTAAGACATTTAATGTGAGATTCCTACTTGAGCAGTGTAGAAAACAATGAGCCTGCTGTAACAAAATATGTCAACATCTACTATCATAAAGTTTATTATAAACTGTAGAAAATGTCCCATATCTAAACTAGAACTGGTTCTACCAAAAACTAACATGACCTGATTTGACCTGCGATAACTAAAGATTACAGCTGCAGAGCTACGATTTTCTCAATATAACAAAGATACTAGGAGCACATTTCTGCTGCTGTTGCTTTTTCTTCAGCTGATCGTCCTGTATGAAAGCTTTCTATGTGTTAGTCCACTCACACCGCTGCTCCTGTCAGTCAGACATCATCAATAACACAATACATCCAGAATCTAAAGCAACACAAATCCTGACGTAAGAAGGATTTTGTTGCTCGAACAAGAATAAATGTATCTTCATTTTTTATTAGAGTACCACCTCGACTATATGGACACTGTAAATGAAAAATGGCACTTGACTTTATGTTATGTTAATATATTCTGCTTTTTGCTGAGGCTATTACACACAGGATTGGGGATTTGCTTTGTTAATGAACACTAAATGACATGCGGGTTTTGCACTGCAGCGTCTTTCCAAGCTGTCCAAACATGTTCAAATATTGATATTATTTGTTCTGTCAGAGAGTGCATGTAAGGAGCTTTATGCATACTTTATTTGACCCCACTGCTGCTGCCTCAGTGGGGCTGGGCAAAGCCATCCTTATCAAAGGCTCAGTATTGTCCAAATTCATTGATCTGCATTTGCATTACCAAGGCACAGCGATGTGCTACGAAGACAACAACTCTCTCTTAATTAGTGACAGCATCTACATTTGGAGTTGGTTGTTAGCCAGGTGAACATGCATCGTATTTTCTTCTCCCCTGTTTCTCCTTTATCTTGCTGGTTAGGTTTAGGAAGGTAAACTTTGTTATACTAAGAAAAAGGTCAGTGTTTGGTTTAAAACATGCTCCACTCCAGCCCTGCAGCAGAAAAACTGACTTTTTTGGTCCTTTAAAGGCACCATATGCAACAAGATCTGAAATCTGGTGCACGTATTCCAGGTTTAATGATGACTGATGACATTTGCGCACCTCCTTCACGTGTGATCACATCAGCAAGTTAAATAGGGCCTAAAGTATGCGCTGCAAAAACATCTAAGAGGCTGTTGGATGATGACCAGGAGCTTCATGAAGCCAGCGCAAGTTACGCCAGGCAGAACTGCATTTTGACTTAAGAAAACTTCAGCACTAAATCTGAGAGTCACACAATCGGACCAATTAATTTTTCTCCACTGTTCACTGGGATCATATCACACACCATCCCACCCCCACAAAGGTGAGTGTTTCTTACCCTTGACTGTGATCTGAGCTGTAGTCTCGATCATGCCCAGGGAGGATATGGCCACACAGGTGTAATTGGCAGATTGGCGGATGTTGGTGAGCTCCAGAACATTGCGGCCAATGGGCATCTCATCCTCCCGGGTCAGCTCCACTTCACCACTTATCCACTTGACGTAAGGCATGGGAGCGCCGACTGCGACGCAGGTCAGGTTGACGCTGCCTCCGGGCATCACCTCATGATTGGTGGGGGGGATGGAGAAACGGGGCGGCACACGGCGAACTGTGGGAGTACAGAGGAGCAGAGTGAGAGGGGACAAAGGAGAGGGGCGGGGTGGAGGGACCACTGGACTGATTCAGTGTTTGACTGGGTTGGCTTTTACTGTGCACCGTAGACCAGTGTGAACTGGTCAATGAGCCTGGTGGAGTTTTACAGTTTGTGTCTGTTTTATGCTTTTAAAATGTTGAGTCATCTTAAAGCCAATTTCTGGTCAGGAATTTCCCTCCAACCAGCTTCGCATGAGATGATCAACATGTTGTATTAAAATAATTAATACATTATTAAAATTACTGAATAAAAAACTGGAAATTATGAAAAGTATTGCTGAAATTAAATTATTAAATTAATAAATTGCTGAACATAATGGGCACATAAATGAAATAGCTAGCTAACGTTTTAAATAAAACAATGCAAATCATTAATGTATATTGTAAGGTCTTGTTGCCATGGTTACTAATATGTCACATGTTAAATGAATTATTTTGGCAAAACTTTTTTTATTTAACCTTCTGTGCCAATGAAGAGCATTTCATTTAAACACCAGCGATTAGCAGTGAGCCATCCATGGTAAATACCAAATCAAATCACTTTTATTGTCACATCACATGTGCAGGTACATTGGTACAGTACATGTGAGTGAAATTCTTGTGTGCGAGCTTCACAAGCAATGATCGATGTTAAAATATCGATTCAGTCATTTGGGGTAAATCTGTAGTTTATCATTAACAGGAACACAGTGGAAAGAAACTATCATTGTGAGGAGGAGGAGAAGGACGGGTGGTGCTAGGGCGAGACAGACGTCTCAGGGAGTCCTTTAGTGCTGCAGGCAGGGTGTTCAAATAGCACAACTTCAGGTTTTTTATTTCTATATGATAATTCTGCATTATTAAGTGATAAGAACAAGTAATCTGATGTCCTGTAATCATTATGATGCTATAATTTGAGATACAATAAAACATTAAGGTTTTGTACCAGTATCAGATCAGTATCATCGATACCAACACTAACGCCACACTGATGGAGGTCTGTGGGCTGTGAACCTAAAACTGGGACTGCGTGTGATAGCTCCTCTGTCTCACTTGGAGAGGTTTTCATTTGCCAGAAATATCTGACTGAATCATTACACTGCTGTGTCATGTGCAGAAATGTGTGCTTTGGAGAGCCATCTATTGATTATACTGAGTAGCAGGTTCTGCATAATCTCAAGCAGTGGAAGCTGCAAACACAGCTTTAAGTGGGCTTTAAGAAATTCAGTTTCCTTTATTTGCTGTGTGAGTGGGAGAAGGAAGGTTATCACAGGGCTGACGTGTCAGACATGAGAGAGTTTCAACCCTGCTAACAGTAACCACATTTCTCCAAAATATAATGGTTGTGACTGCGACTGTGGTTAAGTGGTCCAGTTGCTAAAACCAGTAGACGAACTGGTTTAATACATACGCTAATAGTTTTGGATGGTTGATCCAGTTTAAAACAAATATACACATTTAAACTGAGAGGTGTTGTTAAAGAAAGGACGTCCTTGCATCCAGTGTGCTACGGGCCAGATGAAGAAATATTGGGAATCACCGCCGTAGGGCGCCACGTTCACCGAGAAGCTGGGTAAAATGAGAAGCTGTGTCTAAAGCATGTAACTGGATTTCTCTGGAAAATCTGGGGTTTCCTGCTGGGCTGCAGGGATTAAATTGCACCTGGAGTCTAATGCGCAGCAAGGCGGTAGAGTTTCCATCGTGTCGTGATGCTAAGGCACAAAGTGTGCTGGAGCGAACGTGGGATAAAGATTCTCCTCCAATGTTAGCTCTCATCCCTGGAAATCTCCCCAAAGTGTTTGGATCTACTTCCTCATTACACAATGTCTGAATTAGTGCAACAGTCCTGTGTGCACATCAAGTCAAATGCAGACAGCTCTGTTGCATAAATGAAGTCCTTGCTCTTGACTTAGGCGAGTACACAGTCACGAAAATCTGACTCACAAAGTGTAATTTAAGCCCTGAGCCAGCGTGTTGGTGTGAGAAGCTTACAGTGTGGATCAGAGGCTTTTCTGGGGTTTCATTGTGGTTTAACTAAAGAAGAGGAAGCGCAGGGTTACACATTCTAGCCCTCACTGTAAAAAAATCTGATGTAACAGGAGAAGCGGTGAAGTTAGAAACTCGGAGTTTTCTTCGTTTGCACATAGTGTTGCTGATCAATGACTGACAGCATCCAGAGTGCTGGAGAGCATGCGTGGGCTAAATGTTACTGTGGTGCAAGAGATAATGCAGCATTCTGGGTGCTGCTCATACAAGAACAGCATTGTTTGCTGACATGGTAAGCTGCAGGCTCAGAAATGCAGATGGCTGGCATTAAGACAGATTCCCAAGGAGAAAACTAATGTGGAGGAGGAAGAAGAGAGGAGACAGGGCGAGCAAAAGGAGGAGGAAGAGTAGGCGGAGGATTCAGGGGCTGCGAGCTCAGTTAGGTCAATTCTCTTACTGCTGCTAATCACGTATTTTATTTTGGAGGATTTGATTAAAGGTACAAAAAGGTCAAATGAGAGTAAAAATACTTTTAGGGCTGGAACTGCTATTCATCACTGACAATAACTCAAAGTTACTTCAGACCAGTAATTCTAGCTTTACAAAGATGGACACAACATGCTGAGCTGACGTTTTAATGGCAATGTTATGACGTATTTTTTGCACTTGTGTTTAATCTGCAGGAACTTTTCAGAGCGAATTTACCCTAAAGTATTGAAGGAAGCTGCATCTCTCCTGCCAGGCTTTTACAGCATATGTGACAGTCTTGTAATGGAGGTAGTAAATTTTCAATAAGTGCACAGGAAAAGTCAGGCCTTGATTTCCCAACTGACCTTCCAACACACACACACACACACTTCACACAGGTGGCGCTTCCTGCTAATGTGGGAAGTGTTTCCTGCCAACTTTGTTTATCACGCTAAACGATTTAAAATCCAGACTGACTGAGATAACATCAGATAAACTTTTAATTTTACTCACAGCTGAGTGACAGAAATACGAGGCCGAAACCTGTAAAATTTGATTGCCAACTGTGATCTGTGTGTGTGCATGTGTGTGGCAGTAAAATCAAAACACTACAGCCAGCAGCACATCAGCGATCACAGTGACAGACACCATATCACTGTCATTACCTGTTTCAACTCTTACCAAGACAAAGGGGGGGTAGGCAGAGCTCTACAACAGGGCATGTTAGCTTCAGCTGGCCAGCATTCACCAGCACTGAACTGTTGTTATTGTGTACACAGGGTGTTTGACCCTACAGACTGCTGCAAACATTTCAGTTTTACATGACATGAATGTGGTGAACAAAGTTAGAAAATGTAAGAACACAGCAGGCGTCGTAGGAGGTTATTATATCTTTTTATCCGTTCACAGGTGTTCAGAAGTTTGCAGGAGCTGCATTACATACGATTAAGTCCATATTACTTCAGTGAACCCACCCAATGCTTAATATCAACACGGTGCTAAGATTAACTCACTCGAGTAAAGTTCTGATCGAAATACTGCAGTTATTTTATATTTTGACATATATACCTGCAGCTGACATGACATGAAGTTTTTTATGTCTTAGTTTAGTTTCTTGGTTTTGTAAAGTCCTACACAAGTCATCAAGTCAACCGATGCATTATTATTTTTGGTTATATTACCAGTTTCACAGGAAACAAACAAACAAACAACTAGCATGCTTCTGTCATCTGTCCAATAATGGGATACTGTCGAATATTGCATTTAATCTCCTGCCATGTTTATGACATATGAGTTACACTTGATTTATGGCAGATTTGGGAAATTCTTTAGAGATACGAGCCAGAAATGTTTATGTAAATCTTTTAGCATAGCAGCTCGATAGCAGCTTTTGGGAATCAGTCCATAAATATTCAAAAGCCTTACCTGATTTAACTCGATCGTGGTTATGTTTTGAACACTTCCAGATGGTTTGCAGGGTGGCTGCTATTTTTAGATCCCTGGAAATCTGTTTCTTACCACCTGCACTTTCCGATTTTATCATCTCAAACTTGTTGAAATCACACATTAACTTCTGCCTCAAACTAACTCGCAGCTTTTGTGAAGAGGTGGTTAGCTCACTGGTTGAGCCTCACGGCTGAAATTCAGCGACCGGGCGTGAGTCCGAGCTGTGGCTCTCTCCACCTCTTTCCTGTTTTCCACGGCTGAACCGTGAAATAAAAGCAAAACGTCCAAAAAACTTCAAAAAAACAAAACAAAAACACTTCATGTGAAGGATCTTTGTTGGTAATAAAGAAGAACAAAAAACAGACATGAACAGTTTGGGGAACACAATTCACACGTCTACTCACTAGATTTGTAAACTTTGTAAGAGGAAGAGTCACCAGCGTGGAGAGACATACAAACAGAAGCTGCACTGGATGCTTATTTTGAGCAGAGACAAATGTATATTTTTAATTTTGTTTTGTTCGAGCCAATTCCCAGAACTTTTTGCTGCAGTTTGTGTTTTTCCTTCGTGTTCTTTAGCTCCTGCTGTGGTGTTCCTCAGGCACATCCAGCCCAGGCAGGATGTATGATTCCTCCCGGCTTTCTTCTAGCTGTACGTGCCGGGAATAACTCGATAGTGAGGAGTCTAGCAGGTAATCAGATACACCTGACCCACGTGATCTGACCTGCCAGTGTGGAGGAGCAGCACTTCTAAGATCAGCTTCTTCAATAATTCTGAGCTCCACAAGCCAAGAGTGAGCCTAAAACTCATTTCCAAGACTTGTATCCAGAATCTCATTTTTTTGCTTATGATCAGAAGTCAAGGCTAAAACAAGCTGGACTATGTGCTTGAAGAGTTATTCAGCTTGTTTTTCATGCAACATCCACAAAACTGTTACTGTGAATGCAGGTTTTTATGTTTAGTTTAGTTTTTGTTCATCATCTCCGTCTTAAATAATGGTCAGGTATAAAAATAATCCCCAACACTCACATTAAAATCGATGTTTCCTATCTAGTCGACTTTGTTGGGGCTTCTAAAAGCATCGTCCTGCAGCACAACGTGGAGGATTTATATTTGTGCTAATCAGAGCTTTTTCATATGTGAATGTCTGACATGTGATGTGACATCAGTGCCGTCCGACTGGTCTCAGCTCAGTGAGCTGGTGTCTGAAACACACACGTAGAAAACAGGTGTGGAAAACATCCTGAGCTGATTCTCCCAGAACGGCCTTCAGTCCTGTCAGCGAGGCAGAATTGGCTGTAACAAGTAAATGCTAGTGTTTTAGAGTACTCAGATTACTTTATTTTAATAGGGTAACATAATAACTTATCAGTTACCAATTACAACGTCATGGTTTTAGGGACCCGTTTGTTTTTTTACTAGATTATTATTGTTAATATTATTAATGGTAGTATTAGTATCGATTCTTAATTTATTATTATTATATTATATATTATTATATATATTTGGTGTCTATCAGTTGCCATAAACCATGTTACAGCCAATCAGGACAGTGTGCTAAATTCTGCTGATATACTTTTAACATTTGCAAGCAAAATTAAGTTGTTATTGCTGAACATCAGTAATAACTCACAGCAGTAACTCAGCAGCCTGAGCTAATGTTAATAGTAAATTTGTTAAAGTGAGTGACTGAGCAGGTCGACCTACAGGGCAGGGAGAGCGGGCTGTACTGCCATGATTTTAGGCCTTTCTAAATCAAAGTTTGATGCTTCCCAGTACTGCAGGGTAACAGGTTCATTATTAATAGCCATAGTTTTGTAATGCAACGCGTTACTTCTATCATATTAGTGGGGGTCATACCATGTTCTCCTGCACTGCTTGTTACTCATATCACTGAGGATCGTTTGTCAGGCCTCCTTGATGGGACCGTGTGACGGATAACAGAAATCTAACCATACAGTGCATTTTACGCCTGCATGGTACTTCATCAAACTAATTTGTTTGCACTTGTCATATGAATGTTTGATTCAAGACATTTAAAACTGACGTGTTTGCGTTCAATACTTAGCAAAACTGTGAGACGGGTGCATGCTGGCCAGAACTGTGAAAATCATCATATTCTTATGTTAGTCAATTAAAAAGTCACCCATGGACATGGAGGATGGTCACACTACGATGACAGTTATCAACTCTGCAGTTAAACATGATGGTGTTACTGCAACATTTAATCTGGATGATGGCCTGATGGTGGATGTAGGTACTGAGTGAAACTGAAATCAAACTTAGTAGCCAAGATAACTTTGAATAGTAAGAGATACATGTTAAGACCAACAAGAGTTAAAATGCAGACAGACTCGTTTTTTTACTGGCATGCCAGAGAAAAGAGACGAGAGAAAGAAGGGAAAGGGGAGGAGAAGGGAGGAGGGATAATTGAGGCAAACTTCTGAAGCCAAGCCCGAATAAAGAAAAAGCTACAGTTGTAGAAGAAGCTAAGATGGAGAAGCTGCGATGAATGGGGAAGCGAACATCTGTGTGCACGGTGAGGGTGTGCATGCAGCAGCACAGGTGTAGGGGCAGCAGCAGCATGCTTGCTCGTGAAGAAATGAATGGGAGAAAGGACTTTTATACTAACTGGCATCTCTTTTCCCTTTAACTGGACCAACAGGAGCTCAGCTTTAAGTTTAATGTTCCCTGTATCATTTTTTCCTTAATTTTACATTAATAAACCAAACTTTCCTTCAAGTGAACTGCAGGTTATAACACAGTATGCTGCCATTTGTTTAGAGATTCTGGCTGTTTTTCAGTTTTGTGTAAAATATTAAACTTTGTAGAAGTGACTTTGCAGCCCAAAATCTGTTACGGGGTGTTTGCTTTATCAGCTCACTAGAAACGAAAGATGCTGGTACAATTATGTACTGCAACAGTTCGAATTTTTTAAAATATCTTTAAAAAATCAATAAGACATGATAACTATAATAATATGTTGCTGTAATCCCTGTAATCTACTAACTGATGTCACTTCTGACAAAATGAGAAAACAACAAACACCGTTAGTGTGAGAGAGGGTCCATGTTTGGGTTTCACATATTTGGATTCATAGAAATCAAGAAATGTTTGAAACATAACAGCAGTGCAGCTGAAAACACAAATGAAGCTACACAGATTTCTGTGAGGCCTTTTAATCTGCATGGTTTGTGATCAAAGTAAAGAAAGACTTTGATTACTGCACAATGTTCGTGTTGGCTGATCAGTGTCTGCTGGGGCTCACCTCCTCCTTATAGTGTTTGCAGTATTAGTGAAATATTTAATTTTTGTTAAGGACATTAGATGACAAATTATCTGGTTTACTGTGTAGCGCAAATTTTCCACGACTTTGCTTCTATTTTGGTGAGTAAAGTTCAAATATTTTATTAGTCTATTACTTAACACTAATTAGCAGCTCTGTGTAGGTGTGTTGTCCATATACAGCCTATGAAAGTTGCTAGCGCTAGCTCATAGCTTAGCACTCCAGTCTCATTTATGATAACCTCTGGCTCCAAAAACCCAACACTGGTCATGGGTACACTGCTAAGGCCTCAATATGTTGGTGACCGTCTGCAAACAGCCAATTGCAATGGAAAAATGTGTTGTTGTTGTTGTTGTTGTTGTTGCACTTGCTTGTGTGAAACTAGTCACAGGTGGTCTATGGTACCAAAAACCTCCTTCTGGTTGTTCTGGTCGCTAGTAGGAAGTCGTACTTGGCGTTAGCTTCCATGAAAAATACTCGTCTGCCAAGTAACACTGAAACTGCAGCTCAAACTGGAAACAGAGAAGCTTTCTCAGACTTCCACTGCGGGGCACCCTGCTAGCAACCAAAACAATCAAAGAGCTTTTTGGTGCAGCCCTCTCGCTGCAGCTGATTTCAGCCAGCTGTCCAAAAACCCCTCACCACCATTTCCCCTGCGACCAGATGTTGCTGATGTATCCAAAGGATTTCATGGACTTGTTGCATCACGACACATTTACTGTTGTTGTTCCCGCACAGTTTGCTTTTTTTATAGGACTCACATTTAATACATTTTGATGATAACCGGGTTTGACTGGATTGCATTTCTCTTTTTAAATGAGAACTCACTGCAAAAAAGCTTTTTCAGAATCATATAAACACTATTAATTGTTCCAGTCTTCTCATCTATTTACTTTTATTGCTTCTTTAATTTTAAATGTGTCACTTCACCTTGGAAAGTAATCTGTCAGGATTAAATTTAACTTCCCCTTTTTGAACAATCAAGAATAACACAGTTGGTCAAATTAGCTAAATAATGTTATGGAGATTTAAAACTAAGTGCAGCATCGATCGGCACCATTCACTGACCCGAGATATAAAGACAAGGGAAACAAGCGGCACTACAAGGCTGTAAATTCACATATCAGACACAAACACTGGGGCTAGAGCTGCAATTCTCTCCTCTAGTAGTTCACTTCCACTTCTGAGCTCCTCCACATTCTGCTATTAATGATCCAGCAGTAAGAGTCTTGGAAAAAGCTGTAAACATGTCTGAGGCTATCTTTTCTTTCCTTCTTGCAGAGTGTAGTTCTGTAGCAGACGAGAGGAGAGAATGGTGAAAGCAGTGTGAGCTCAGAGCCTGCCGCTCAGCCTAATGATGGTCAGGCAGCAGATGAGAGCTGGGATGAGCCATGCCTTTGAATTAGCCACGACAACAAAAACATGATCAGCATGCTGGAGAGGACCTCATGAGACTGATGCAACATTTTGTGAAGTGAGCACAAACTCTGAAACCAGAGATGTTATGCAAACACTCTGCTCCATTTTAACCAGGAAAGTTGTGAGGCGTGTGAGACTGGCACTACATGTGTCATCATCGTGTCACTGTCCTGAAAAACAGCTTTATAAGAAGGGCAAAAATCTTGCACGACAGTTAGGCTGTTAAGAAGGTTTGTCAAAGAGTAACCAGGCTAACAACTGATTTGCTGACAGATGTTCTAAGCTATGATATCCATGAGCCTGATTTAAGGTAGACTGTTGGGTTACTCAGAAAAGATCAGCTTCATTTTCCAAAGTTTTTGGTCGTAGAAAATCATTTGCAACTGTGGAGCTGGTCTGTTTAAATGTAAATATTCATGATCCCGTCGAGCTTCTTGTCCACAGTCGAAAATCTAACATTAATAATAATAATAATAATAATAATAGTAATAATAATAATAATAATGTGTTTTGGACCTGTGTATGGAAACACATTACACTTACAGGAGCTGTTGGGCTATGAAGCCCACTGCCCACACTGCCTGGATGACTTTTACACACAATGTGGATTCAGTGACCCCACTTTACGTGTCCTGCCACTGCATGGCTGATTTGCTTTGGTTCCTAAACACTTCCTCTTTGGCATATCTAAAGGGAAGAAACTTCACAAACTGATTTGCTGGATTGATGGCTTCCTTTACAGTAACATGCTCAAGTTCAGCGAGCTCTTTAGAACAGCCCATTCTTCTACAGCGTTTCTACACGCAGACGGCGCGGCTAAATGCTTCTTGTTTTAAACACATGCTGTCGTTCTAATCAGGCATTAGATCATAATTATCTTCCCTTTCCTGCAAGTTCACCAGGACAAATTTGAAATCTTTATTCCCAATTTGCTGTGGCGTACAGGTTTGTTGCCTTTGTAGAAAATACAGCAGCTCTCTAGACGCCTTACAACACCAACTCAGTGCCACGTCCTCAGTGTGATCCTTTCCTGGTGGGAAATTCACTTTTTAATAATGTGCATTTATGACATTTAAAGTAAGACATGCTCATTTCACATTTTTTAATGAAGCAGGGTGCATAGAGCAGGATGTGATGCGGCTCATATATTAAAGCAGGGTGGGGTGGGTTGAACATCAGTGGAGGTGAGGGGCAGGGTGGTTGCACTGTAGGGTTGGGGTCCTGAGAGAGGCCGGGACGGGCCTGAGGCGCCAAGCGAGATGCAGGCGCGGCACGGCTCCAGTCTGCCAGGCCTTGGCTTTAAGAGGGTAAAGAGTGAAAGAACCAACCTTCCCGTTGATCTGAGTGGTGAGATTTGGATTGGTTTTTTTGGATGGCGGGGTGCAATGGCGATGGAGGGATTTAAGATAAAGTGAGAAAGAAAAAAAAGAAACAACGAGAGGGGCAAAATAAGGAGTGGGAGGAAGAAGACAAGGAGAAACAGAGAGAGTAAAACAGGCAAATATCTGCTTATCCGTTAATGAGTGAAAAACAGCCTGTACACATCAGTGACACACACACACACACACACACGCACACACAC